ATGGTTTCGCCTTGTTGCATTTGGAATATCTCGTATTCTTGGATTAGGGAATTCTTCCGTGCTCTCTTAACGTCGTCAGTACCTTTGTGGGTCACTCTTAGCATTTCCCACATCTCCTGAGCACTTTTACAAACAGAGATCCTGTAAAACTCGTCAAGGGTTAAAGCAGATGAAATTATATTTCTAACCCTAACGTCAAATTGTGCTTTTTTGTTTTCCTCTGTTGTCCATCTAGAAAAAGGTTTGGGAACGCCAACACCGTTCTCAGTAACTTTAGGAACATATGGACCGTTTAAAATAGCGTCCCAAACGCCTCTATCAACAGACTATAAAAATATTTGCATTCTTACTTTCCAGAAAGGATAATTTTGACCCGCAAAAAGTGGGGGTCTGTTGATAGACGCACCTTCGGCAAAAGTTTGATTTTGTCCGGCCATTTTCGAAAAGTTTGAATGACTATCAAAGCAAGCTCTGATACCACTTGTTGGAATCACGCAGCGAAATGTTCGCGTGGTCGGACAAAAACCAAGAGGGAGGGTGAATTGGTTTCTTAACAAAAATTAGGTTTTCAAAATTTTCCCCAAATTTTACCGATTAAAAAGCTGTGTAAACGTAAATAAGATAGAGATAGAGTCTTACACAGGAGATTTATACTGGTTTGGATCAAAAGACCCTACGTCCAGTTGCTAATCACTCAAACAGAGGATTAATGCTGTCACTATAATCACAGTTGTTACAAACAGATTACAATGGAAAAGATAAAGTAAAGAGAACACCTCTCTTGAAATCCACAAGAGATGAAGAACAACTTTCCCTAGAGACGGCACAACACACAATCCACTAAGAACTCCACTTAGTGATTCTTATCGCTTCTAGCCCACACAAAGTTCCAAAAGCCCCTTTTTCTTGCAACAAACAGTTCTCTGGCACTCACAACACTTAACTTTTGTATAAAAAAGGTTGTTCTTATTTTCTAAGTGCCATAGAGAAGCTTAAGTAGAGAAATTAGGGTTTGGGAATTGGAATTTTCGGAACTAGGAGTCTTGGGAATAGGATTTTCGAAAATAGGGTTGATTTGAAGTTGAAAATCAAAATCTGACTGAAATAATCGATTAAATGAAGTGTTAATCGATTATTACAGAGCTAAAATCAACAGAACCCCAAAACTCTCTGTTTTAATTGATTAAAAGACCTGTTAATCGATTAACAGGCCTGTTAATCGATTAACAGGTGTGTTTATCGATTAAACCAGTGAGCAGATACAGAAAATGTTTTTTCTCACTGTTTTAATCGATTATTTCACCATTTAATCGATTAAAGCCGAGACACTTTGATAAAATTGAGCTTTTTGAAGCTTCTAAGGTGCAGACTATGTACCGACTATCTCAAACTCTAATATTACAGACTCAATCTAATCAAAACAGAGTTATTACATAGTAAAACAAGTCTTCAACTCTCTAAGTCTTGTGTTCTTGAATCATCATCAAAATCAACAAGCTTCATATCCATGTACGTTCAACATCAAGTCCTTGAATGTTCAACATAATCATCAATGAAAGTAACAAAGTATTGAAAATCTAAAGTAGACTTAACACGGCTAGGTCCCCAGATGTCAGAGTGAAGCACGGCAAAAAGGGACGAATCACCACGTGTGAAACTACGAGGAAAGGAAGTACGACTATGCTTGCCTAATTGACATGACTCACACGCCAAACTAGATAAGTTGGACAAGGCAGGGACAAGCTTCTGTAAGTTGACAAGACTTGGATGACCTAGCTGAGCATGAAGAAGAGAGGGAGACTCCATAACTGTACTAACATGTGTAAAGGGACGGAGATAATAAAGATAATGAGACTCACATCCTGTGCCAATCACCTGTGTCGAACTTCGGTCCTATAAACACACAAAATTGTTGGTAAAAGTAATAACACAATTAAGAGTACGAGTTAGATGACTGATGGACAACAGGTTAAAAGGAGACTCAAGGACATAAAGAACATTATCAATGGTTAAAGAAGGAAAAAGTTTAACCGTTCCAACACCATGAGATGATACTCTAGAGTCATCAACCAGTGTAACAGAAAGTAAATGATTAGAAGAGGATAAAGAGGAGAATAAAGATTTGTTACCAGTAATATGATCAGTAGCTCCTAAATCAAAAACCCAAAGACCAGGAGAAAATGATTGAGTCAGACCAGCAAAATATGTATTTGTATGTGTGACAGATATAGTGGAACTAGAAGACTGTTGATCCTTATACCACTTGAGAAATTTTTTGAACATAGCAGGCATGTCGGATGCAACAGAAGAAGGAGGATCCCCAATAGATAAAGGTGGGGAAAGATTGGTCTGAACAACTGCATGTAATGCATAACACTTGTTAATCTTGTGACCTAGCTTGTGTTAGACAAATGACATCTAGAAGAGGGGGGTGAATAGATGCACAAATTAAAATAGATGTCAAATTAAAAATTTATTTGTGAGTCAATAATTTGTTTGAACACAGATAAAGCGGAAACAATAATATAATCAGGAAAAGAGAAAGAGATAAGAGAAAGAGAAGAGCACACAGAGATTTATACTGGTTCGGGTATAACCAACCCTATATCCAGTTCCCAGTCAACTTTTAAAACAAGAGTGACTCCCCATTCACTATCTTTCAAATTCAGTTTACAAATTACAATCAACTCAGCAAAAGAACCAATAAAAAGTAAACTAATTAAAAAGACAATCATCTCCTTAAAAACCCACTAAGGATGAACAACTCCCTAGAATCCCACTAGGGATGAACACCTCCTCTGAACAAATCAAAGGATGAAAACACCTCCTTAGAATCCCACTAAGGATGAACACCTCCCTAGAATCACACTAAGGATGAAAAACACCTCTTTTTCCACCAATGCAAAAAGGAGGAAGGTAATAAAAATAAGAACAGACACACCTGGCTAATGGAGACAACAAATTGTAGAAGCCTGTAGAATGCCAATCTCCAAGAACAAGTGTGATTAACAATGAAAGCACAAAAATCAGTAGAGAAGAGAGTTTTCTCAAAAGGTGTAAAATATCTTTGTTGCCTTGCTCAGAATTCTTTTCTCAAAACTGATTGAATGTAAATTATATTTTCGAATTTTGTAATTGTGTGTTTTTGATTTTTCATCAAAACTTAATTAAATAGAAAAATAGCATCAGAAAATGGTCGTTGGACATTAATATTTTCGTAAATAAAAATCAGGATATATTCAGAAATATTTATTCTTCAAAACAAATATATTTTTAAAATTTGAATTGTCATAATTGATTATGTTACCAATATAATCAATTATGACAGAGAAAATCATTTTTCCATTTCTGATGCATCATAATTGATTATGACAGTGAAAAATATCATGTTATGAATTTTATCACACTTGTGCTTTAGAGGCTTATGCATAATATTACTTCATCAACTTGTACCTCCATATCCAGTATTCTAAGACTCTATCTAGTCTTTAGGAATCATCTTGGGCTTGCTTGAATCATCATCTTTATTAAAAACATATCTTGGGCATGTAGGGACATGTTTTACATTTTCACCAACGTCATAAATTCAGTTTGTCCTTAATTCATCTTGAATGGTGTTGACTTGAATGTAGTTTACTTGAATCATCATCAAAATCATCTCTTCGGAATGTAAGAACATTTCCATCAATCTCCCCCTCATTGCTTTCAGCTTGCCATAATGTTCACACTTAGGACGCAATTTTCCCTGTTTGCGAGGGTGAGTCCGGTCATCACGATGTGATGTCAATATAAAAGAATCATCAACAAAATTGGAAATAGTAGAAGAAGTGGAAGAAGTCATGAAGAGCGGGAGAACAAACCCTAAAACAATCCAAAGTAATCCAATTAACCCATGAAGCACAAATCCAAAATGAGAATACTAAAACTAAGTTTGTCAAGACTAAACGGCGTAGGAGACAACGGGACAACCAACTCCGATAGTGGTGATCTCAATGGCACGGTGGTCACCTGACCGAGACAAGCAAAATCATATGTCACCGTTCAAAAAAATGAAACTCCGGTGAATTCTTCGGCAACGGAGGATCTGGTGACTGCTCCAGCGGCAGCGGTGATAGCAACGTGAACCAGTACACCAGGTAAGTTCCTAGGAAAGAGAGGTGAGTCACTAATGGACACACTTAAATACCAAGTCTTTCCTTGCCAGAACTTTCCTAGATATGCACTTTCACACTACCAAATAAAATTCAGTAACAAAGATAATTCTTTTCTGATATGGAGGATCAGTTTACTAGCAGCAGTGGAGACGACTCTAGCAACGGTGGGGCGGCTCCAGCAGTGGACAAACAGCGAATTTTTTTTTTAAGATAACCTTAAGCTCTAAATACCATGTTGAATATAGAGGAAATATGGTTTGAAATTAATCGAAAATAAACAGAAAATAATATTTGATATTGTAGGTAATAATATCTTAACAATATCAAACTATATCTAAATAATATCTAATAATTTTAAAATATATAAAAACTAAAATATAATTTTTTGTTTGATTATAAAACTAAAAAAAGAAAGCCTGTCGTTTACTTATAATTTATTTATTTATGTCTTTTCTCGTTGTAAATGTTCTTTGACCTTTACAAATTATCAAGAATAAGATATTCACGTGACTATGAAATTTAAGTACACACTAAAAATTAAAGTGTTTGAAAAATGGATAAGTTTTGTACATACAAAAACAAAAGTGATTAATTTCATATTAAATAGAAAATAAAACCCATTAATTGAAATAATGAAATGATGGAAATAAAATAGTTGTTTAGAGGAAAGTTTAGATGACAGATATAGTATTTATTTATCACAGTCCCATAATCATCATTACTTAACTTAAAATAACTAATTAAGCCCCACCAATAATCACATCACATAAACTAAAATAAGAAAGAAAAATTAAGATTGATATAGAAAGTGAAAGGGAAAGAGAGTGGGAGAGTGTTGTTTCTTCTTCAATAATCAACCCCTTTACAGCTTGACCTGAAATTGACAAATCAAAGACGAAAATAAACGATAAACACAGCTAATGGTGGAAGCTAAATCCCAAATCAACACCTAATAATGATATCAAAAAGCAATTTAGGGTTTCCATTTTCAAATCCTAAAAAAATCATAGCCTTTGGATTGGAATTGGTCCCATCATCCATCCCTTTTGCTCCCACCCACAAACACCCCCACCCATCATCATCATCATCACCAACAATCAAGTCCAACCCTAACAGAACCCCAAATCTCAACAAAAGATTCGAAACTTAAAATTAGGGTTCCAAATTGAAAAATCATGCCCCCTTTGAAATGGTCCCTCTGAGTAGTAAACTCAACCCCACAACACAACCAACCGCATATCATCATTATCATCAACCACTAGGAACACCTTGTCACTCCAATCCCAAATCCTAATGATCCCATAACAATTCATTGGGGTTTCAATTTCAAACCCTTATTAAAAAATTAGTTTTTTTTTGCTTTATTTTTTATTTTTTTTATTCTAATTTTCCCCAAATTCATCCTCGGCGGCACCGACCCATCATAGTTGTCGCCCCCAAGCTTCGATTTTGAGTCCCAAAATGGCGACTAGGGGCACCAGATCGGAGAAGGTTCGCCGAATTTTCAACCAATTTGACGCGAACCGTGATGGGGGCCTCAATCGAGAGGAAATGGCGTCGCTGGTGGGTGCCGTGAACCCTAGGGTGAAATTCAGCGACGAACAAATCAACGCGATCCTTGACGAGGTGTTCCGAACCTACGGCGAATTCATCGACGGCGACAAGGGTCTAACGTACGAGGGTCTGTTGCGCACGTACGACGACGGAGCCGGCGACGTCGACCGTGATTTCGACGCGCTTGGCCTTGACCTCGTCAACGACGCCGTGAAGGAGCCCCTTGCAGCGTCGGAGGCGTCATCCTCGTCCATTGTCGACGAGAGAATGGCGGTGGAGACACAAAAGAAGCAGCGGACGGCCGCGTGGGCGGTGTCGCCGAACCACGGGATCGTGTTCGACGAGACGTGGAAGATTGTGGATGATTTGGAGCTTCTTGTCAAGAGGCTGAAGATGAAGCAGTCCAAGGAAGGTGGGAAATTGAAGAATGACAACTTTGACGCATATTCGGATGCCGGCTGGTCGCGCGAATTGGGCCCCTCGGCCGAGATTTCGGAGAAGAGAGTGTTTTGGGAGGAGTCAGGGCATGATTATGCAGTGTTTTTGAAGGAATTGGGAGGGTTGAGAGGGAGAGCTGATGGTGCTAGGTCAAGAGAAGAGGCATTTGATGGGCACATGGCAATTGGGAGAGTTTTGTATGAGCATCAGTTGTTTAAGGAGGCATTGGTTAGTTTCAAGAGGGCTTGTGAGTTGCAGCCTGTGGATGTGAGGCCTCATTTTAGAGCTGGGAATTGTTTGTATGTTCTTGGCAGGTACAAGGAAGCCAAGGAGGAGTTCCTCTTGGCTCTTGAGTCTGCTGAGGCTGGTGGCAACCAATGGTCTTACTTGCTCCCCCAGATTTATGTCAACCTTGGCATCGCCCTTGAGGGTGAAGGGATGGTTTTGAGTGCCTGTGAGTATTATAGGGAAGCGGCGATTCTTTGCCCCACACATTTTAGAGCCTTGAAGCTCTTAGGTAGTGCACTTTTTGGTGTGGGGGAGTATAGAGCGGCAGTGAAGGCATTGGAGGAGGCAATTTTCATGAAGCCGGATTATGCTGACGCCCATTGTGATTTGGCCTCGGCATTACATGCCATGGGTGAGGATGAGAGGGCAATTGAGGTGTTTCAGAAGGCTATTGATTTGAAACCTGGTCATGTGGATGCACTTTATAATTTAGGTGGGCTGTATATGGACCTGGGTAGGTTTCAGAGGGCATCTGAGATGTATACAAGAGTATTGGCCGTGTGGCCGAACCATTGGCGAGCCCAGCTGAACAAGGCGGTATCCCTTCTGGGAGCTGGGGAGACTGAAGAGGCCAAAAAAGCATTGAAGGAAGCTTTGAAAATGACGAATAGGGTTGAGTTGCATGATGCAATTTCGCATTTGAAGCAGCTGCAGAAAAAGAAGACAAAAGCTAGCAATGGAGGTGTTCCTGGGGAGGCATCTTTTGTTATGGTGGAACCATCCAAGTTTAAGGTAGTTGGAGAGCGGACTACCGGGAGGCAAGAGCTTGCCACTGCTCTGCAGATCAGAGCGCTTCAGAGGGTTACTAGGTTGAGCCGTTGCAGTGTAGAGCTTTTGAAGAAGGAGATGAGTGAACGTGACATGCCAGTATCCTATTCTGGTAGTGGAGTTCCTGAAAAGTCCATCCGGAAGCCGAGTTTGGAAGAAATTCTTCACAGATTACTCAGTTTTCTGAAGCCTGAGACTTTTCAAGGGGCTGTGAAAGCCATAAATGAGAGGATTCTTTCTGTTTTGGATGAGAACGGTTCAGGCAGGCTTGATCTAGGAATGTTTTATGCTATTCTTGCTCCTATATGTGGTGGTCCTCCGGATAGACGCAAAAGGGTTGCTTTCGATGCACTTTTGTGGCGTCCTATGAATGAAGATGGTGCCAATATTAGAAAAGTTGATGCCACTGAGTACATCAAATTGTTAAGGGCCGTCTATCTTCCTAGTCAAGGGGTTAGTGAATTAATGGAGGTTCGTGGAGAGTCAGACACTTCAATGGTGTCTTTCTCTGAGTTTCTAGTTATGTTTGATGATCCAGATTGGGGTTTTGGTATCATGCCTACCCTAGTAAACCTTGAGACAGGAGATAGAAACCGGCATGGCAGCACGGTGTGCTCGGTTTGCCGCTACCCAATTATTGGTTCTCGGTTTAAGGAGATAAAATATCATTTTAGTTTGTGTAACCAATGCTACAGTGAGGGAAAGGTGCCTTCTTCGTTTAAGCAGGAAGAGTACAGATTTAAAGAGTATGGAAGTGAGGGTGAAGCCATGAAAGATAAGTGTACTTGCTTCAATTTGCAATCCCGTAGTGAACAGTAGATAGTGGCATTCAATTTTTTGTATTTGATTTTTTTGTTCTACTATCTTGTATTATCCCATCTTGTTTATCCTAGCTTTTGGGTGTGAATGTGATTATATCTAGCTCATGAGTTCAGCAGTCATTTTGGCCCCTTGTTTAATAATTGTTTCAGGTGCTGTTTCACTGCTTTGGTAACTGTTCATATACATTGTAAAACCTTTAACCCCTTTCCGTCACAAACATTTGTGTTGATCATGCTTCCTTGTCAGTTACTGTTTTGTATTAAGCACTTGTCTATTATGACAAATGGAACCTGAAAAGTCTAGAGTACTATGATTATTCTAACTTTCATTTTACTGTTCTTTGAACTGTCATTTGTTTCCCTGTGGTTAATTTGATGTAATGCAATTAGAGTATAAATTAAGAATTTTGAATACTATGGACATTGCGGTTATCTATCATAAATTGATAACTTTTCCTCCTTTTTATGAGCGATTTTACTTGTAAGGTTTAAATATCACTAAGCATCTTACAAAGGTTTATATTTCATTTCACTGTTAATTATATGAAAGTACATTTGACTTTGTTGTGAAGGTTGATTTGGTGCAACTCACTGAGTCTATTCATACATTAAGAATTCTAATACATACATTATTGCTGTGAGGTTTCTAAATTAAACAATGACATAGTTAAAAAAAAAGGGACCCTCTGCCATAATCTTAGTGGAGGTTATTTAATATTAAAGAAAAAAACAAATATTTGTATGTTATTGTATGATTTGTGATGAAGTTGATCTAAGTTTTGTAAACAAGAAAATGGTGGAAAAGAAGGGTCTTTATTGACTTAATAACGATTCTTCATTTCCACCACTCATAATCCCATTACTAGTGAGACTATGATTCAATTAATTTGTATAAATAATTTTATATATATTTAGGCAAAGTTTGAAGGTGAAATTATAAAAAAAACTTAGATTAAAATTAATCTAGACCAAAAAAATATCGAGAATTTATGTTTTTATTTTGACTCTTTAAACACAATTTTGATCTTTAAACCGAAAACCAAACATGTATGAAGACTTCTCAGTAATTACGTTACATGAACAGAACCATTACCATTAATGCAATAAAATTTCATTGAATAATTATTTAATGAAGCTATTTGTCAAAAACTTTTTTTGGATACATTTTTAGAACATTTGAAAAAAAAAAGTATTAATTGAAATGCATTCAATGAAGCTCGCTATTTAGTAACCTTTTGTTCTTGTTTTTATGTTGTCCAGCGATTTTAAGTTCTATGAAATTTTGTCAATCTTTGTTTATTTTAGGTATTTACCTGGAAATTACAGTGGTTGCCGAGTAACTATCAACACAAGATAGTCATAAAACTAATTTATTGTTTTCTTACCAGTTATTCTATTGTTTTACTCGAACATATTCTTTTAGCCCATTTAAATCATCTTCCATGTAATATAATTGCTTGCAGAGTTTGCTCAAAGTTAAGTAATGTTGCTTATTTTTGGAACAAATGATGTGAAGATGCTTACACAAACATCATTGCTTATATAAATATTGTTTCTTAAAGTCATGTTTTGATGGAGAAAATTAAGAAAATGCACTTATATTAATTATAAAATATACAAAATGAAGTTAACCACTCGCATTAACATCCTTAGTCCTTGAGAGTGAGTTTTTATGTAATGTTTAAAATTATGTGACATGCTATAAAATTAAGATAAGCAACTACTTGAATTAATCATGTATGGTGGATGTTCTCATTTGCTTTGCTTGTATGAAATCTTGCCTCTTAATTACTTTTGCATGTTTAATGCCAAGTCTGTTTCGTATCCTTGTCAAGTATTGAACAAATTGAAAAGAGAGAAAATTTTACATGTGATAGGTGAAGAAGCTCATTCTGAATGCTTGTACATGTGGTATAAGTTGGTATTCATGCATTATTACATCTGCAACTGCATTAGCTTCACGTGGAACCCAAGCAAAACTACAACTTCTATTTGGAACCTTTGACTCATCAGTTGGTTTTGGAAGTTTCCAATGCGATTGCCTTTTTATTTTTTCTTTTCATGGAAAAAGAAATTTTGTTAAAGAGAAAAAAAAAAGTCTTCCTTTGGTTTAAAGTTTTATTTAAGTTCACATGGCATTCTGCAAGTGTAAAATTAGCATTAGCTTACCCCTCTAATTATGGCTTTTTTTCTCATTAGATGACACCTCTTGAGATTTTGAGATTGCACAAACTCTTTTAATTTATTTCATTCTTACAATGACTCAATTGTTTGAAATTTGAAAAGTGGTAGCACACTCACCAACTTAATAATTTTAAAACCAGTACACCATATTTTCTTATAAGACTATTGCTGTGAATATTAAAAAATAAAAAATAAATGAGTTTATGTACAATCTCACAAAATCTCAGAATATCAATATAATTTACTCTTCATAATATAAAAAAAAATGTCATTGTTGACAGGGTTTCAAAGCTAGGGAACAACAAACATGTTCCTTTGGTTCTGGAAGGTAAGTGGAGTTTATGATTAGTCGTAAGAGTAAATTGAATAAAATTAAAATAAACAAAATGATATAGAAAATCTCATGACATTGGGATAAACCTTAAAAAATAAAACAAGGATTTTCAGTGTCTCAACTTATGTTCACATTACTACGATACTTGGAATAACTCTTACTACAGAAGAAGGAGCTGATATCATTAAAGCACTAGGTGAGTAAAATATATTTTCAAAGCCTAGAGAAAAACCTGCACAGAACTCATTTCATCAGTGAATCCAGTTGAAATATGTTTATTCATTGAAAACAGATCATAGTAGAGAACATGTTTCATATAGTTAAAGAGACTGACTAAGAATTTGCTGAATGTAGACGACCAATAACATTGTGATAAACTAGACAAGAAAAAATCCTCTTTTTATGTATTCCAAACATGAGAATGGCAAGTCCATAACATGTTCCAGTTCAATAGATTTGGAAATGAGGGTGTTAATAACAAAGTCCCGGTTAAAATACTCACTGTCTTTATCAAAACCTCTACACACAACCAGGGAAGTATTACAGACCCAAGGAACTGAAACAGTAAAAGCAAGGCCAGAACCTCCTTTTCCTAAAAGCACATCTTTGTATGCTCCGCAAACTTGAGATACATACTTTCCCATTGGTAGAATTGCCTCAACAGATGGAACAGATCCATCATGATTCAAGACATCAGAGTCAGAATGCAGGTTGACCACAACGGTGCCATGTTTGGGATGAAGTCGATTACTAAGGGCTTTAAGGAATGTTGAATCTGGGCCCCATAACTTGTGGGGAAATATATCATCACCATCATAAGCATCAACAAAGATCATATCGTATATATTCATATTATTAACAATAAATTCCTCAGCATCTGCTTCGTAAAGGTTAATCCTTTCATGGATTCCTTTCCACATAATTTCATTGATGATTTCAGTTTTCGTAACAGCCTGGTCACCTGATTGTGTCTTGAGTGAGCAAGCTGGGAACCCCATAGCTCGAATTGAGGCTGAGATAACAAGGGGATCAATTTCAACTATATGAACAATGGCACCTGGAAAGTGCACAGAAAATTAAGCAACGTGTATGAGGATTAATTACAATCATAAATTTGCCAAGTGAACAAGGGAGAAAATCATTAAGAAATCCCAAAAGCCACGTCATAAAAAAAATGCAGTAGAAGTCGCCTGCTTTATGTGACTTTGCATTTCCAGACCAATAATTAGACAATGTATCAACGTAAATCAGGTCACTGGAGGTGGTGGCATAAGAATATGTTGTTTCGGTTCATTACTATTGAAGTTACAGCTGGTTGCCAATGAAAATAGCAATGCCCAAGGTTTCGTGCCAAATCCCTCAGACTGCAAGATGCGACTATGTCGATACCAAGTATGTTAATCATCCTTTCTTTCATTTGAAACACAATGATATATTTCCATGATAGATGTTTTTTTTTATTCAACTTTTCCACTCAAGCAATAACTTTTTAATATGGATATTTCAAGCTACCACTTAAAAGTTAAAACCAGAAAATAAAACCCATAAAGGTAGACAAAATCTCACCTTGGATTTGACTGGCCAAAAACAGTGGTAAACTTCCTCCACCATGTCCAATGCATAAAATGTGCATATTTTTCTTTCCTTGCAGTGCACTGATGATATCAAAATTACATGAGGCTATAGTAGTCAAACCAGCTGATACCATACTCTTCACATCTGCAAGATGGAATTAAACAAAAAAATATATATACTTGGGATTCAATTGAACGTGAACTGAAAATGGTATTAAGGATAGATATGTGTAGAAAATTAGAAATCAAAGAATCATGACTAAAAAAAAATACCCTTAGCACTTCATTAATAGATTCTACAATCATGACCATGCCCATGCCCAAAAAAAGAATATCAAAATACAAAAATCCACAATGGCATACAGCAAATAGTGCAAACTGGCCCAAAGTAATGGAGTGGTGAGTACAAAACAAATATTTTTCAAGGAATGACAAAAGAAAATAAGTTATCTAAGAGTGCAAAAACTTGGGAAGAAGCTCAAGATTTAACTAGGCAGCCAACAAAGCAATTTTTGTCAAATGGCAAACAGGAGCCTCGAATTAACAGTAAAGACCACATACAAGGGAAACTACCCACACACTGTGAATCAAATCGCCTCTAACCTTTTATGTTCCCTTCACAGTCCCACCAATAAAATAGTAACACCTCAGTAAAGAAAACAAAATATTAAGAGAAGCATATTATTTAAATGAGAGATTTTTATTTTGTTTTATCTATCATTTTTTAAAGGACAGAGAGATAAGGGAACATAAAAAGAGGACAGGTAGTTTCAATCTCATGCAAAGACCTTGACCCAACAAAATAGGATATTCAAAAAGATCTCTTGGTTGGAATTCGATGATTAAGCAATTGCAGAAAAACTTATTTGTTATCAAAATCCATCCGAAATCAAGCAGAGATTGCTCAAATTAATAGTTAATTTAATATATAAATAATCGTAAATGTATCACTCCTAGCAGATTAGCAGTAGCTTCAATCTTAACAATCTTACAGCATTGCATAATACAATCACTAACTAAAGCAAACACTATCCCTACAAGTCAATCTGATACTCAAATTTCCAAACATAAAGTTTTTTCACATAAAACTTCACTCATTGAAACACCAAACTCACCAACCCTACGAGACATAATTCCATCGCAATTGTATTTTTATTCACATTCTATATGGTTAGGAAATGTACATGGAACAGCCAAGCAATGTGGTTGCTGCATGAGGTAGACATCTCCGGGCATGTTTTCGCGGTAAGTTGCCATTACTTTTGCCGTGCTCTGGCGAGTAACATCATTGAAACGAAGCACCCTCCATTGGTATCCAAGTATCCTCAGTTTCCCTCCATCCCCATATCCAGGATGCAGCTCCTCACACCTTTTCTGCAGCCATCTTTCCATTCCTGACCATTGCATTCTGCTCTGAAAACCATGCAAAAACCCAACAAATTTCACCGTCAAAACCTTGCAGAAAATGCAAATTCCGAAAAAAAAAAAAATCTAACAATTTGTCGCTCACTACAGTTAAATTAAATGAAGTCACAGCACATCAATATCTTATATGTATATATTCTTAGTTCTTAAATTTACGATCATGCTAATTTAATTTGAAACACGTGCGCAAATGATATCTGCTGTGTAGCTGTAGTTTAATTTTCTGAAATTTGAAGTGCATTTGGAAACATAAAAAAGTACTTCGTGCAAACGGAATATAAACGTTGAGAACGAGAGGAAACTAACGGGTCTTGAAGAGGGATACGCAACGACAGAAACGACGCCGTTTCCCTTGCCGGAAGTTGCTCGAAGAACGGTGTGACCGTCGTCGAAGTCGGAGCCCCACCACTCAGAGGAGTAGAGCCAGTTACCTTCGTCCTCCAAGCGCTGCCGTACCGCCGTCGAGAAACGGCGGAGGTAACCGTAACCGGCTCTGGCTCTGCGCCACATGAGGTAGAACCGTAATTGATAGGGTTTTAGATTTTAATTGGGTTTTATTACCCGAATTCTATTCGTTTAAACAACTGCTGTAATTTAATTTGTTTAAAATTTTACACAAACTCATGTAATTTGTTCTAAAATTTACCAGCCGAATTTGATAAGTTACAAAAATAAACAAGTCTTGCTTATATAACTTTTTACTTTTTAATTCTGAACAAAAAATAATACGCAATTTGTCAATACAATTTGAATAATTATATATTTTTAAAATCAAATTAAAATTTACTTTATTTTTTATATATGATTTCCCAGTTTAAAGTCGTATTTATATATACCACTCTTAAGTAATAGAATGGTCTATATTAAATTAGAATAAATTATATTAAGTTTTTATAAACTTAATATTACACGTTTTTTTATCCTAAAATAATAGGATGATAAATAATGTTATTTATTTTAATTTATTTGATCAAAATAATTTTGTTTCTGTTTTTTTTTAATTTAAAAAAAAATCAACTTAGGCAAAATTTAAAATGCAACGAATTTTTTGGGTAAAAAAAATAATTTGGATTAATTTATGTTTTTATTATATTTAATTAATCTCCGTCTTTTATAATAATAAATTCTATTATTTAGTAACTAATATTATTTTAATATAATTAATGTTAATAGAAGATCTTATTTTTAATTGTGATGTTTGAACTAAAAAAAAAAAAAAACTTTAGTTATACTATATTAACATTTTAATATAAAATCAATTTATAATATGAAAAGTAACTAATAAATATTTAAACCATAGGCTTATAAGTATCATCAATCCAAACCCTATAAAAAAAACTATAAAGTTTGTAAAATAAAAGTTTGTTTTACAAGTAAAATAAATTCAAATTAAAAAAATTCACCATATATAATAATTGTAAATGGTAAACTTCATCTTTTTAAATTCTTCTAATTCAATTATTCAATTATATTACTTTTTATGTGAGTTAAAATAAAAAAAAAAGTATTTGTGATATATATATATATATATATATATATATATATATATATATATATATTTGCTTTTTTTTCGAAAATTAGAATAAAATGTTTTATTACTTCTATATAATTTGATCGTGTATTTTATAAATATTTTAAAAGTAGAATAAATTTCTTTATTACTTTTATATAATTTGATCGTGTATTTTATTTATTATGTTATATAATAAGATATTACTCAGTGATTTTATTTTATTTTATTACAATTTATGTGAAAGTATACTTATTTTATTGAACTACAATAACACACATTTTTGTAAATAATGATATTTTCTATAACAATGACTTGTGGTTATGTTCTATGTTTTTTTTTAAATAGTTGGCATATATTTTAAAAAAGACATTATTTAATTTTATTCTTATTTAAATTATAATTGTTTTTTTAGTATTTACGATGGGTGTTATAATATAACTACAAGATTTTACCGATAAAGAATAAAATAAATGATAAGTTATATGTCTTAAAGAAACCTTAATTAGGTTAAAACAATTGTACAAATATTTAACTTAATTCTAAAACCAAAATATTAATTTAAAATGTTGGTTTTAAAGTTAAAAAAATAAATTTATTATCTTTTATTTTTTAAAGAATTTTACACTAACAATTTATTATCATCTAATAAATTGATATTATGACATCTGATAACTATTATTATTATTATTATTATTATTGTCTTTATTATATTAATTATTTTTTATTAATCTCATCATAATAATTATCATTTAATGTCATTTATGATCACCTTTATTATTAGTAATATTATTTTATACTTGTAACTAGAAATTCATTATTATTCTCAATGGAGTCTTACTTCTTCTGCTAGTAACTAGTAATATTATGTTTGATATGTTATTTTATACTTGTAACTAGTAATATTATTTTATACTTGTAACTAGAAATTCATTATATTATGTTTGATATGTTATTTTAATTAGCAATGTTGTGATTAGTTAAGAAAAAGATTCATCACTATCTTATGATTTATAATTTAATTTAATGTATACGGTTTGGTTTTTACCTAATTTGATCAAAATCTATTTATGTTGTTATCACTTCACAATTCTATAAATTCATTACGATTAAATTCCTCTATGATAATAAATTTTAAAGCATGAAAAACTTATTAAACTATAAAAAATGAAAATAAAATGAGGATTGTGTAATGTTTAAGAAATAAAATGGATTTTATGTAACAAGATTATACAAAAAGTTTTTCTTTGAAACGTGACATATATATGATATTGGCGATGAACTCATCTTATCCTGACATATCCACTCTTACCTAGATCACTAGACAGTGGACACAATCATGCCACGCAAGCTCAAGCACACTACACACACAATCTAATTTTTCTCTCTCATCATGTCATAAACACTAAGTGATCATCTTGTAATGCAACACTCTGAGTTGCATAATCACAACATGGCTGCCACTGCTGCTACAGGCATAGCTTCGTTGTTTTCTTCTTCCATTAACAGTGTCAAATGTCTTCGTTTCAAGAACTGCTCCATGATGGATCCCCTCATGACAGCAGTGCCCTCAAACCGCATGTTTGCATCTGTGTCACACTTGGTGGAACCTTTGTCCATTGGGGGTACCATTTCGCATAGGTTGTGGGGGCCTAGAATATCTGCTGCTGTTGCACAAGAAGAGGTGGTGGTGGTGGATGATTTTAGTTTGGGTGAAGAAGAGAAAGTCGAGGAGAGTGAAGAGGGAGTGGTGGCAGAACAAGACTTTGATGAATCCTCTACTAACACCAAGCTTTATTTTGGGAATTTGCCTTATAGTGTTGACAGTGCCAAACTTGCAGGGCTGATTCAGGATTATGGTAGCGCAGAACTAATTGAGGTATTTATGTAATTCAGAATATCTGCTGCTCCTTCTTATATTTTTACAATTTTATCTGCATGAGCCAATCATGTAGCTTAAAGTTGGATGCAAGAGATCTATAATATGGTTTACTGCGTGTAAATTGTTTATTTAAATTACTTTGCTTTTGAAGTTGTATTACCCTGATTTATGAACTTTTGGCAGCATTCAATTTGGTTCTGCAATATGTGACTTAGTGGTACTATGGCTTTTTCACATGGCTGTGTGAGCAAAAATGCTAATACATATTCTGAAAGCATATGAGAAGGAATTTGATTAAGAAGAGATGAGTGGAGAGGCTTTCACAGGATGATGTGTCAAACAGCAACGATTTTTTTCTGAAAATCTTTGGAGTCTGAATAATGCTTATGGTCCAGTTGCTTCAATTGACTATTTTATTTGGTTTTGGTTTGTAAATAGTAGTTATATATGGCTTTGATGCTGTCTAAAGGTATGTTTCGGAGTTAAGGTTTAGGACCGAAAGAGAAGAACATGTTTTTCATTTCTAATAAACATTCTCTATTTTGTTTATTTATTTTGGGATGCAAGCAATAAAATGGTAGATTAGCCTAAGCCTAATGTGTTAATCTTTTGTTTATTTTTATAATTTTATATAAAACCTGATTTAAAAATATAGTACTTGTCCTCTCCTCTCTCTTGAGAAAAGCCTTCACAGTTTTCTGTCTTGATTTTTCATTCCTCTGGTGGATATTTAAAGTACTTGCATTTAATGATTCAGTAATGTTGATGAGTTATTTATACATATATTTAGGTTCTTTACGACAGGGATACTGGAAAAAGTAGAGGCTTTGCATTTGTGACAATGAGTTGCCTTGAAGATTGTGAAGCAGTGATAGAAAATCTTGATGGAAAAGTAAGGAATTGCTCACATGCTATGACAATTGGTTTGTTCTGCTTATACCCTTTTGCATGCTGAATTTTGTGAACGTGACTTTTCAGGAATTCCTGGGCAGAACCTTGAGGGTGAACTTCTCTAACAAACCAAAACCAAAAGAGCCTTTGTACCCTGAAACTGAACATAAGCTCTTTGTTGGGAACCTGTCATGGTCAGTAAATAATGAGATTTTGACACAAGCTTTTCAAGAATATGGAACAGTGGTTGGAGCTAGGGTCTTGTATGATGGAGAAACTGGAAGGTCACGTGGCTATGGCTTTGTTTGCTTTTCAACAAAAGCAGAGATGGAATCTGCCCTTGAAGCCTTGAATGATGTGGTATTTTACTCCCCATCTCTTCACTCTGGTACTGCTTGTGCATTTTGTGAACTGAAAACTGTTTTATGGTTTTTCTATGGACAAACCTTAGACTCAGTTCTTCAGGTGTTTTTAGTGCAATATTCAATCACAATTGAAATTTTGCTTTGTAATCAGAAGAAATATCACCGAAAACACTTGAGCAACTACATATAAGTTGTCTTTTCTTTCTTTCTTATGTTCCATGATCAGATGTTTAAGGACAAACAGATATATTTATTATATAGCCAAGACAAAAGACATTTAATTTAATGCTTATTCTTTCAAGTGACTGAAAACATTTTAAGAGGGTGTATTTAAAGCCTTTTGAGGCAGGGTTTTGTGGTCATGCACACTGTGTAAAACCTGTAGAACAGTTTTACAAGGTCATTGAATCAAAAACCATCATTAGTATTGTGTATGGTGGCTTTGATTGAATCATAATGTATAGATTCTTTTTCTCTCTCAACATATGCACTGGGTGCCATAATTTTAAAAGAAAGTTCCACGTTATATTGCTTATTGCTTCTATGTAAATTGTGCACCTCAGGAACTAGAAGGACGAGCTATGCGTGTAAGTTTGGCTCAAGGAAAACGTGCACAAGGCTAATATTTGGGAAGAATGAGATGTGAGATGTTCAACAATGGTGCCATAGAAATGAGAAGGGGATGATGCTAGTATATCAACCATGATGCACTTAATTGCTGCAATCTGCTGAGGAATTCCTTTTCATTTCTTGTGGTGCATTGTATAAATTATTTACTCCCATTTTCGAAATATCTGCTGACCCGGATGCTGTTATATTCTGTCTTTATCTTCTTTTTTCTGATACTAACATTGGCCTATATATTGCTTCGTTCTTGGCTTGCAAAGTCATACATTGAATCACATTCTAATGTAACATTTGCTATGAAATATTCAGCACCCGAAGGTGTGAAGTTTCATACCATAATAAAATGAAAACTTAGTACTTTTTCATTTTGGTGCAAAACTTAGTAAAATGGGTAACTTGAATGTACTGCAATATCTATTATACTAGTATACTTGAAAGGGATTGAATAGTGTGTTAGATAAATAGTGAAAAATACTTTTTTGTAAAAGCCGTTTCTTAAAATACTTGTTTTGATATACGTAAACTAGACTTGTCCAAAACATTTTTACAAATCTGATAATTAAAAGAATGAGTTATTATACTACTACTCTAGATTATAAATATTCTTTTCTGAATGGCCTTAAACTTTCCTCAAGTTTAAAATCCCAAGTATTTTTTTTTATTTTGTTATGAAATCACTATGTGGATCATCAATGACCTTGTTCTTCATTAGATTTTGTATGTTGAGGTGAAGACTTAAGTAGATTAAGTATTCGTAAATCAGTTAAATTATATATCTTTTATGCAAACTTCAAAACAGATTAATGTTTGTGAACTTTATTACTATAATGAAATTTCAATATATAGATTACGACAATGAAGAGATAAGTATTACTTTCTCATTTTTTTTTATTATAAACTTGTTTCAACGAATTTTTTTATCATCACTCTAATATATTATTTTATAATAACAATAACTGAAAGTTATTCTATTTTTCACCTCAACAAAAATTAAATTCACACAATAATTTTTCCTAAATTTAATTTATTTTAAATATAATTTTTAGATTGATTAAAATATAACTATTATAATATATATATATATATATATATATATATATATATATATATATATATTATATAAACTTTATCTTTATGACTAGTTTCGGACATTTTTATTATAATTTGATAAATTTTTATCGGAGAAAGATAATGAAGAAGTGTGGTGTCCAATGGAGACCCATCTTCATCAGTGCTACTGGAACGCATCCAAATTTCTGGGTCACTCTCTTCCACCTTCTCAAACCTCTTCCTCATGGCGACCCTTTCTTCACGCCAGACCCGTTTCCCCTTCTCTCATCTCTTGCTCCTCCAATAACTTCCCACGTTGGGATTCCAACGCTGAAACCTTTCGACCCCGAAATTTCACCTCCAACGGCCCCAGAGGCAAGGAACGGGAAGAACAAGAACAAGGTAATGGGAGGAAGAGACGCTGGTGGTCTGATGAAGAACGAGAATTCGTGGAAGATGAAGAAGAAGATTTTTCTAGTGGGATTGTGGAAGAAGCCATTGATAGTGTCTGGTTTCTCCAGGTGAAGTTATCTCTCTCTCTCTCTCTCTCTCTCTCTCTCTCTCTCTATATATATATATATATATATATATATATATATATATATATATAATTTTTTTTTTCCGTGTCAAGTCCGTGTTTGGTTTTTTATTTTGCGTCTTGCTAACGTCGTTAAAGAATTAAAAGAACAAGTTTTTAGTTCCAGATTACAGAATAATGCATTGAAAATTACATGGGAAGGGAACGTGTTTTTCTGAATGCAATTAGAAAAAATTCCCTCAGGGTATCCTAAAAGTACCGGTTAACATTTGTCTTTATTTTTTTATTTTCACTGTTTCGTGTGTAATAGCTTCCTACTGGATAATTAAGCATACGCTGAGAGTCTGAGACTTGGTATTTTGGTTGTTTGAATGACGCCCTTTTATTTTTTATGTGGAAGATGTAAGTAGTTTAGAAGGAAAGTTGACATTTTTTTATAAATGATTTTCCTTAGAGTATGATATGTTTTTTTAGAATTTATGGATGTAAATGGAAGTGTATTGGTAAAATGAGTTAATGATTCTTATTCTGTCTTACAATTTTAAGATTCATTGCATGCTTACATAAGTCAATAAACTTTATACTCTATATTTGATTTGTATGCATCGAATCCATATAAATAGACCCGCAATAGGATTTTGATCATCTTATTACATCATCGTATTCATTTATTATGATGTGGAAATGACGAATTTCTAACAGACATTTATGTAAAAAAGTTATATTCATAGTACATATATATCAAACTCTATACTCTATTATAGAAACTCCAAGGAGTTGGTTGAGTAGATATGTCAAGATCTCGCATCTAATTAGTCACCAGTCCGAACCCCTTACTCGTCTTTTTAGGATAAATTGAATGTAAGTTTTTCTGCAAATGTTCTTTGAACTTGGAATCTTTCACTTCTTTTAGATTTCAGATTACAGCTCCATCCCCTGCTCTAAATCAGTTACCACATACTCTAGTATAGTGCTTTTGCATTTTCTTATTGTTTCCTTGTCATTCATGATGAAATCAGGATTGGTATTTGTAGTCAGGTTACTGTTAAAGTGTGATAATGTGTTACAAATACTATTGTTTTAATGATTTACCATTATTTGGGCATGCTGCTATGACTGCGATCAGCTTGTAAAGTAGTATAATTACGTATTTTCTTTTAGTATTCATGATCTGGGTGCAACTCTACTGGATATAACATTCTTTGATTACAAGAGAGAAGGGAGGAAGGGGACTCTTTTGCATAAAAGCATATGTGTTTCGGCTCTGGACCTTAAATGTCACTTATATTTTCTAGTGAGCTGTTTTAATACACGGAACTGACGCAAGAACACTGTGTGTCATATTAACAAAATCTGTATCAGTTTTAGGGCAGACATATTAATACATATCATTTAATTTTATTGTTTGACAAACCTCGAGTATTGCCTTAAAAACTTAACCTGAATGTCTTATAACCATGGCTTCCGTTAAAGCTTTGTCTAATGTATTCTGTTAGAAACTTGGCCTAATGGGCTAGTTTGTGAAATCTGTTAGTGAGGGAGCTAGAGTTAGTTAATGATTGTTAATTAAACTTCTAACAGATTTTGACAGAGACAGGCTATAAAGAGATAGTGAGAGAAGATTAGGGCATTCTGTTGAGTGAGAGATTGGTTTGGGGGAGAGATCTCAGGCCTTTGATCTTGAGAGGAACACCTGTATTATTATTATTTATTTTTTTCGGAATATTCATGGCTTTTGTTAATGCTAGTGTATACAAGTGACAGTGTTGCACAGATTTCTATGAAAATTCCAAACATGTAACCAATCTTATGGCTAATATAGCTTTGAGTTGGGTGCCATTGGAAGAACCTGTTACTCACATTCATATGTTTCTATTTGAAAAACATTCTACTACATGATAAAGTATGACATATTTTGATAATGAGTATATATTTTCTATATCCAATTTTGATAAAAATGGTTGTTTAAAAAATTGCCAGACAACTGACTTTCAATGGATTCTTTGTCGAGGGAATCTCTTGAGCGATTGAACCAGTGGATCCTGATGAGAATTGTCTCAGCTAAGCTAAAATGATTGTAGGTATTTCCTATTGTGGAATTCCATTGCTAGAGACAAGGACTTGTCTTGCAGATTCAGTTGGTTATTTACAATGGATACATAATTTAGAATACAAGACTACAAAACAACATTGCGTGACCAAGATATAAGATTAAGGCACCAAAATAAATGTATGTTTAACTTACAATTGTTTGTCTATATCTAAAGAGGTGAAGACTGCTAATGGATCAAACAATTATTAATTACAATGATAGGCAAATAGAACTGAAAAATGCTTACATTGAGGGACTGAAACCTACTCTGACACTGCTCTGTAAATAAATTATATTATGACATTTCATATGTTGAAGCATTGCTTATTAATAATTGTTGCTTCCATAAAATCATGAAACCATCATAGTGCAGCGAGATCACTGTTTTATAATGCTTGGTTTTCTAGGCAGATGTTACAGCATTTTTACCACTGGATGCACAGTCAATCTTAATCCAAAATTAAAGGATATATATTGGCATTTTCTCAAAATCAGTATCTTCTTGTGTTCATTCATTCTCATTTTCCTTAACTATTATTATCTCTTATTTTAAGTTACTATATGGCTGTTGCTCTCACTTTTTGTTAGGAACCAAGAGAGAATGGGAAATAAAAGATTTTATCGAAATAGATGAATGAACAACAAATAGGAGAACACTCTCTTATTTAAAAATAAAAATAAAAAATAGGAGATCACTTGCCCCTCTAATGGTTTATCTTCTTACAAAAAGAGCTGTTGCTCTATTCCCACAAAGCTTTACTATTCTCAATGTCTCCCCTTTACACTGGTATCCTCCTATTTATAGATATGATGGGCCTGATCCATGGTATCCCTCTAGTAGTTACTCTAATTCCCTTCATTCGATATCCTAACACTATAATTATACAATTATATATCCACAACTTTTTTTTTTCTAATTATCTGTGCATTGAAAGATTGAAAAGCTTTCATAAGTAATTGTTAGTTACATATCACTTATGTCTTTGTATTTTATTCTGTTTATGAATATATTATCCATCATTGCTTTGTCATGTAATAGTATAATATTGTCCAGAAGCTTAAACTAATTAAGCAGATTTTGGTAATATTTATAATGTGATGGGTAACTTTCTTGGAAAATTGTGTTGCACCTATAACACCTAGTGGGTTAAGACTTTGTTGTTGCTGTTATTTCCATTGCATAAACTTATTGTGTCTTACCTGTGTCTATCAAGGTATCGAATTGAGATTTGAATCTTATGAATTGCTGAGATATTTTTTGAAGGGTGAATCATATAATTTTGTATTGAATCGTAAGATTAAGGTAAAATGAAAATTTACTCCAAATATACCATATAGATGATATATAGTGTTCAATGTAAACAATATAAACTAGAAATAGACAAAACAACTTAAGCAGAAGTCATACAAAACAAAACAATTAGGTATATCTAAGTTTTTTATGTCTTTATTTCAGAAGACTGGAAAAGCAAAAACAGTACTTGCCTTGAATGAGTGAGTGACAAATAAAGGTGAAATAACGGAACATGATAAGTTCACAAGTGTTCTTTCAAATTCCTTTTCATTTAAAACTTAAGCTCACGTTACTTTTTTATTTCTTTCATGAGTATTGGTGAAAAAGTAAAAACATATGACTGGTTGAATCATATCGGTGATAAAAATTACATAGATTCATTTATGTATAGTAAGATACAAAGTCATTTAAGATTCATGTTGAGATACGAATCAATTAGATGGCTAAAATGTATTGAATGGTAAGATTCAAAAAGGGAGTTGTAAGATTATGATAACTATGGTGTCTACATATGCATTGAAATATTTTTGTTGGCATGAGGTGTTACAATGTATTACATTTTTCTGTAAATGCAGATTTTCAAATCCTATGGTTGGACTCTGCCTGTCATCCTAGCATCATGGTTGCTATCTAGTGGCCCTAAAGCTTTCCTTATGGCATTAGCTCTTCCCCTTGGTCAGTCAGCACTTGCACTAGCATTTGAAAAATTATGGGGACAGCCCAAGAGCAAACCAAAACGCAAGTACAGGATGAGGAGGAAACCGCGCCGAGCAAAAAGCACCAGAGTTGAGGAAGAACCAGAAGAAAACCAGAAAACCAGAAAGGGGTACCAATCATGGGCAGTTGAAGATAATGGTTCAGTTGATAAGGGCAGCCAAGAAGCAGCACCGAGTTTTGGTGGATGGGATGACTTGGAGAGGTCAAGACCAGCGACAAAGTCATCCCGTGCCATGGATGGATCACAAAAGGTGCCTATAAATGGTGGTAGGTTGAGTAGGAGAGAAAGAAAAAGTGACACACCTCTGCTGTTGCGGTTGCTTATTGCCCTTTTTCCATTTCTGGGTACATGGACAAAGATGCTGTAATAGTCTCGACTCTGGCACCACTTGAGCTTGGATGAGTTGGATGTGATCTTTTACATCTTCCTCGGATGAAAAGAAACCAATATGTTATTTTATGGAGATTTTTTGTCAACATATATGTAGTCTTAATTGAATTAGATGATAAATTAAGTTCATCAATATCAGCAAATATACATTTTCTATCTGTCTCATTTTTGGCAGAAGAGAATTTTGCAGGGCCCCATTTGGGTTGTTGGGTTTGCTGTGATAGATTATCAGCAAATAATGCTTTTAGGACACCTTTTGTGATCTTAACTTCGCAGTGTGCACACTCCTTTTGATGTGAACTGGAAATTTCGCATTTGTCTTTGGCTAAAATCACAATTCTGCACTTATGAATGTTCATGTTCAGCTGAAACATTGATCCATTTTTTAAGAAAAATGCTAACACACGCACTTGTTTTTTTTTTTGACAGACTTTATTATTTGTCGAAACATTTTTAAACTCAAATTATAAGGGAGAAATCGAATAAATAAAAAGCAAATAAGTGTAATAAGAACTGGACTAATGTAGGACTCGGTTAAGGCATTGAATCAACACGCCATTGATCAAATTAATGAATCATTGGTTGAGTTTCATGAATAAACATATTATCAAATATGGAAAATTTATATAGAAAGTATAAAAGTTAAATTTACCATCTCTACAAGCTGGTGATAAGTATCCACATGAACCAAGAAGATGATGATGCCTTTGTTATGCACTACATAACTGGTGTCAGGTTTACTCAATTGAACCATTGTTGAACATGGTAGCCTTGAAGAAGATCCATATAAATTTACTCAATTATATCTCCATTCAAGAAGGCATTGATGCGTAACTGAGCAAGATGTCAGTGTTTAACTGCTGCAAGAAAAATAGATCTGTGACAGTGGGGATAAAGTTTCAACCAAGCCATAATCTCTTTTCCTACATAAAAATATCAAGAAATTTAAGAGACGCATATTCCCTTTCCTAACTCATTATTATGTTTTGTTTAATGAATTTTAAGCTCCTCAAATGGCTTTTTAAACATTTATATTTAATATTTTGTTATTTAACACTTTCTTTGAATTTGATAAATCAAGAAATATGATCTAATATATTTTATTGCAACACCAATTTTTAAAACAGAGTTATCAATTTTTTTTAATTGGCTACTCCAGTTAACTTCAAAATATATATTAATTAATTGAAAGTTTGTAAATTAATTCGGAAAATAGAAAATAATTAATTAGTTTTTTTAACTTTAGCCCATTGCTCACATTTTTTATATACTAATTTACATGTGTATCATCATATAACTATAATTATATATATATATATATATATATATATATATATATATATATCTATTATTAATTACGAAATCATTTTAGTAATGAATAAGAGACATGAATAAGAGACATTTTATATATATGTTTCTATAATTAATAAAAAATATAAATTAATTATAAAATAAATTCATATGTAGTTTTACTTTAAAATTAAGATGAAAAACACATTCGAAATTTGTTTACGGAGTTACTTAAATAAAATATTAATGGTTTAAAATAATTTTTTATTAAAAGAATTTTATATCACATAATAAGTATTTATTTTTTTTAATTATTTCATTAAGTAACTTATAAAAATAAGTAAATTAAAATAAAATTAATAATAAGTTATTTAAAAATAACGTGATATTATAAATATTTCTTTTACATATATATATATATATATATATATATATATATATTCTTTTTAATATAAAAAACAATTCAAGCTTTTTTATAATTTATGTCTTATCATCTTAATTTTTTAAATGATAATTAAATATACTTATTTTTATATTTATAATTTGAATATTTTCTATTTTTTATTGTATTTTATCTTTTTATATATATTTATTATTTATTAATAATATTATTTGATTTTATGAAATTAATAGCTATTGTTAGTATTTTATATAATTTTTCTCTCATCTTTTAAATAATAAAAATTTATTAAATTAAAATTTTAAAATAAATAATATATAGAATTTGATAATTGATTATAATAATAATATAATAAGGAAATTGAGTTCGAACACCTTATATATAAAAATATTCAATTATTTATCAAAAGTTAACGGAACTCTATAGAACTCTATAGACAATGATTGATATGTCGCCGCTACATAATTTTTTATTACTCTTATATATATATATATATATATATATATATATATATATATATATATATATATATATATATATCAACTTTTCAATTATTTCATATAATAAAATAAAAGTTTGACTTTTTAAAATAACAATATTATGATTGGGTATAGCTTTTTCTCATGATTCTACATCATTACTTATATATTCCTTCCATTTAAAATTATACATCTTTTAAAAGTTTTAAATAACTATACATCATTTTACAAGAAGGTATGAAAATTTAAAAATAGAACATTTTATTACTGTTTTACCTAAATATTTCATTAATTCATAACAATATGACCCTTAATAGTAAATAAATCTTATTTGATATTAAATTTTATTAATAGGTGAAACCATTCAATAGGATATATTTAATTACCTTCAATTAAATAATGTTTAATACATTAATCAAGACATAAAATATACATATTTATTTTTAAAATTATATTAATTATTATGTTATAATGATTTATGTATTTCTAATTATATATTATTATTAAACATTAATTAAATAAATAAAATAAAAATATTAAATACACATGCTTACTCATAATTTGATTGGTGTCAAAAGATTATTTTGAGAAGAAATTATTAAATATTAGTACAAAATAGTTGTTTTATATAACTTAATTCTCGTTCGACCAAAAAATAATCGATTTTAAAAAAAATTATGATGGTATTTTTGTAAATAAGGATGTTATTTTTACATCGGACCTCTTAGAGGTTGACGTAAAAATTGTTTTTTGGTTCTTATGAAATCTGATGTAGAAGTCGTGTTTTAATCGTTTCAGAGCTTCTTTTGCCTTTCGCGTGCGAGGATTTTCGAGTGACGATGACGGTAACAACCAAACTAACTCCTCTCAAAATACATCTCAACTACAATGACGAAAATACCTACATTGTGTCCATTTGTGGTGATTGACATTTCTCTTTGATTGAATTTGAGCTTTAGAGTGTTTTTTGTATATTTGAGATTAGTGTTTTATGTTGAAATTGTAATCGTGATTGTTTTTGGGATCTCAATTACGTTATTGCATGAATGTCTTCACTGAATTATTATTGAAATTGAACTGTTGTAGTTTATGATTATTCATTTATGCATTTGAGTCGATTTACGGTTTATACACTGCATATGAAAACGAAGAAAAACAAGTGAAGAAGAGAGGGCAAATCTTTGGATATTTACCCTAACAATTTTCGCAAAATATGATCTAAGCACGTGTAATAGACAAAAATAGTGAAACATGTCATATTATTATAATATCTATATTCTTGTATTTAAATTTTGAAAATAATATTTTGTTTTTTTTTCTCAGTTCAGTGTAATAAGCTAATAAATTTCTTTAAATGTGACTATTATATCTATATCATGTATTGGATGAAAGTTATAGTTTGTGCGGGTATAACTGATTATTTGATGGAGGTAATTACTTTCAATATTTGTTAAATTGATTTACCTTTATGCGTATTGCATGTTAATAGGAGTCAAATTAATATTTCAGGTATTTTAAGATTTATCTCCACTATCAGAACATGATACTACACAAATTAGAGAGTAATGAACAAGGTTTTTCGTTTAACATTTATAGTATTTAGTTTGTAGGTTATTATTTGTATTATATTTCATTGTGTTATGTAGTTTAGAATTTAGGTAGCTTAGTTTTTATATTAGTTTATTGTACTAGTTTAACTTTTAGTCTGTATTATATTATATTGTTATACTTTTTTTAATTACTATATGAAGAAACTTGAATATCTGGATTGTCTGTCATTAAAATATGTTTGCAGGTTTAGGGTTTAAGACAAAACAAATTCAATATTAAAAAAAGGATAAAATTTACATCAAACTAGGCTATGACAGACGTAAATTTACGTTGAACATGGTCTCACCCGATGTAAATTTACATCTGTTGTAAGTTGGTTCGACATAAATTTACGTTGAATCTGACCTCATCCGACGTAAAGTTATGTTTGTTGTAGCCTAGTTCAACGTAAATTTGGTCTCATTGTTTTAATTTTCGAAACCTTTTTACATTTGTTCATTGTTTTAACTAATGTAAATGGGCGTTGATCTTCGATATAATTAATGTAGATTCACGTAGATCATAATAGCTTATGTAAATCTACGTCTAATGTTAGACTTACATGTGACATAAAAAGAGTAAACCTAATTGACTAAAAAACTCATTTTATATTAGTATATATTTTTTTATTGTGAAAATACTAAAGATTTTGTTTAATATTTTTAACCTTTTTACTATGCATACGATTATTCTTTGATAAATTAAAAATCTAAATTTAAATATATATATATATATATATATATATATATATATATTTTTATATTTTGAATAATTATAATAGTCAAACACATAATAAAATAAAATAAATTAAATATTTAAATATAATAATTTATTTAATAATTCATATAAACATTATTTTCCCTACATGTATTATCTCATGTCCAAACATTTTATGGAAAACTAAAATTAAATTTTTAATTCTCAATATATTTTCAAGATATTGCATTAGATACTTTTAAAGATATTTTTTTATTATTCTCAATCTTAATATTCCTCTCTTATAATTTCAAAATATATTACCAATCATTTATTGTTAACTACTTACTTTCTCATAGGGATGGCAAAACAGGCTAGGGCCCGCCCCGCATTTGACCCGTCAAAAGCAGGGTAAGCTGGACCGTTATAGTCATGACAGATCGTAGACCTTAGCCTCGCCTGTCAGAGGTGGGTTAGTGGCTGGTGGGTTGGCTCGCCATAATTTAGAAAAAATAATTTATT